GACAGTGCTCTCACTAGAGCATAAAGGGGAAGAAAGTCTATGTTAAACAGAGCAGGGTATGAGCTGTGACCATAAATATTGCATGTCTAGTAGGTGCTGGGCAATGGCTAGGTATTTTGGTTTCATTAGAGAGGAAAACAAATACACTGTCCCCACCCTCAAGACAGAGATAGACTCATGTGCCTTGTACACAGAATGATTTGTTGAAAGAAATTATATTTTCATCTAAGTATTTATTTCTTTATTTTTTTCAGTGATAGTGAATGGTATTGTACTTTTAATTTCAGTGTCCACATGTTCATTGCTTTTTATTTTTATCTTGTATCCTCACATCCTTGCTAAACCCACTAATTAGTCATAAGCATTTTTTTGTGTGTATATTCCTCAGGGTTTTCTACCTAGACAGTCATATCATTTACAAATAGCAATTGTTTTATTTATTTATTTCCAATATGTATGTTTTTTATTTCTTTTTGTTACCTCTTGTGCTGGCTAAAGCTTCCAATACTATGCTGAATAAGAGTGGACATTATTTTCCATTCCTAATCTTGGGGGAAAGCATTCAGTCTTGCACCATTAAGTATATTGTTAGCTGTAGAGTTTTTTCCAAATGTCATTTGCACTTTGCTGGTAGGGGTGTGGGTGGGACATGAGGTTTTCTGTGGTGTTTGTCTGAAATAGAGTAGTTATTATCTAAAAGTTTTTGTCTTGCTGGATGGAGCAAGCTTTTCCTGGGGCTTTTTTTTTTCTTCTTCTGTGCCTATTGGCATTTCCAGGTTGCCGGCTTCTTCAGTTTCAAGTCTTGGCTATGTGAGGCAACAAGAAAATGCAGGGAACTCACCACAGTGTCCTGCCTGGGTCCTGAGGTCCCTAACAGGTCTGCCTTCTTCACTCTGCCTTTCAGAGTCTTCTTATGCTTGTTTTATATATAACGTCCAGAGTTTTAGTTGTGCATAGCAGGTGGAATAGAGAAAAGTATGTCTACTCCATCTTCCTGGAAGTGGAAGTGGTTGGTAGAAATTAGAGGACTTGGGTTGGGGCCAGTTTGTGAAGGGCCCCAATACCAAGGATTTGACTCTGTAGGTGGTAGGAGGTGACAGTGGACATTGGGGCAGAAGGAAGATGAAAGTCTACATGGGCAACAAGGAAGTGTGAAGAGATGAGGTTGAGTCTGTAGTTTCTAGTGTGGGCAGCTAGCTTTGAACCTGGAAAGGCAGGGGAGGAGTGTAAGTGCAACAGAGTGGGTATAGTATAGGCATTTTACAGCACATCAGGAAATTTGGACTAACTGTGCCTCCCTTCAGGGAAGGCTCCCCAGAGGAAGCCTGGCTGCTGTGCACAAATCCAAGAGTATGCATTCTGGGCAAAGAAAACAATGTGGGGGGAAAGCATCGATACAGGCAACAGCATGGTGGGCCTGCTGGGACTCCAGCTAGCGGAGGCATAAAGGGGAATAATTAGTTCCATAACTGGAAAGGACGCTCTAGGAGTTCACGAAATGAAGAGGTTTCACAATGGGCATTGATATTGCCGGTGGTCTGTTTGGTTCTTTGCCTTCTGTTCTTTGTGTGTTGCCATCAGTCTTTTCCACTACAGACAGGCCACCCTTCTTCTGGGGGCTTCCCTGCTGACAGCGCCAGGTTAACCATTCCAGGGAAGGGAGACTTCCTTTCTCTGAATCCATACATCAATTCCAGAGAAAGGCTCTGGTTGGCCAGGCTTGGGTAGTGTGCTAATCCTTTTGGACCAGTCACTGTTTCGAGGGGATAGAGCAGTGATGGTGAACCTATGACACACGTGTCAGAGGTGACACGCGAACTCATTTTTTTGGTTGATTTTTCTTTGTTAAATGGCATTTAAATATATAAAATAAATATCAAAAATATAAGTCTTTGTTTTACTATGGTTGCAAATATCAAAAAATTTCTATATGTGACACGGCACCAGAGTTAAGTTAGGGTTTTTCAAAATGCTGACACGCCGAGCTCAAAAGGTTCGCCATCACTGGGATAGAGCATTCTAGCCTGGGTTGGGTCATTTGCCCACCCCTGTTAGGGCCAACAAGGTCCTTTTTAAAAAGAATGAAGAATAAAAGCATCCAGGGAAGATTTAAAAAGAAAATAATATTTACTATGGCTTGCTGTACTATGTTCTTGAAAAATATATAGTATGTAAATTTAGGAAACTCTTTGGAGAATTTTAAGCAGGGGACTTAATCAAATTCAGGTTTACTTAAAGTCATCTCAGAAACTGTTTGAGGTTGTAGTTGGAATAAATAAATGACTAGAAGTGGGGAGACTGATTAGGAGGCTGCTGTAGCTCCAAGGATACTGATGAGACCTTAGTTAATTCATTTGGATTTCACCTCCAGCCACAGCATCAGTAAGATGGAAGAGAAGGATAGAAACTAGGCACAAGTAGGCACACAAGGCTGGGTGACCGGCGGGAGGGAGCAGCGAGAAGAGGGGGCTTAAGGAGGATTTGCCACCACCAAGCGGGTAATGACTGTTCTCTGGAAGGCTAGTTTTGTCTTTGGAAACTAGTTATTAAGTGGTTGCATACTCGGCATATCTAATTGCTTCTTGAGAAATGTGAGTGTTATTGGCTTCTTGTGGTACATGAACTGAAAAGGGAAGCTGATTGATTGTATTTTTCTCCCTTTAAAACGGTTCCCTTCTTTAAGAAATCAGATAATAGGAGAGTAGTCAGGACTGCCAATCAAGAAATACATGGACGGGAAGAGGACAGTGGCCTGAAAACCCTACCTCCCCCACCGACCTTCCCCTAAACCACTTTGGAAATATTCATTCCTTTGACATTGTCATTGCCAGGAAGACTTTGAAGGATTTTAAGCAAAGAAATGATATAATTTGACTTATGTTGTTACAGAGTCCCTCCCTTATTGAGAATAGACTATGGATGGAGGTAAGAATGACATCAAGAGTAGAAGAAGCAGGGACATCAGTTAGGAGGCTATTGCAATAATCTAGGATGGTAATAGTGGAGGGGATGAGAAATGGTCATATTCTGAATATATTTTGAAGGTAAAAAAAAAATCAGTTTTGGTGAGGATTGGATGTGGAATAAGAGAGAAAGAGAGGAGACAAAAATGACTCCAAACCTGTTGGCTTGTGCAATTGGACAGTCAGTGGATTAAAGTAAGATGGGTAAGATTCTGGAGGGAGCAAGTCTGGAGGAAGGTCAGGGGTCTATGTTAGACATGTGAAGCTTGAGACATTGGACAAGTCTTAGACCTCTTGTCCATTTGACTTGAAGCAGACAATAGGACATACTAGCCAAGAGTTCAGAGGAGAGGTCCAGGCTTGGAGAGAAATCTGGGCATCATCAGCATATAGCTGATATTAGAATCCCTGAGATGAGGCAAGATCACCAAGGGTATACAGAGAAGAGAAAAGAATAAGGACGGAACCCTGGGACACTTTGACATTAGGGGGCGGGGAGACAAAAAAGAACCAACAAAGGGAACAAACAGCCAATGAGGTGGATGGAAAACCAAGACTGCCATCCTGGAAGCCAGGTGAAGAGAGTAGTCAAACAAGAGGGAATGACTAACTGGTAGCAAAAGCTGTAAGATGAGGACTAAGACCTGCCCATCAGATTTAGCAACATGGAGGATAGGTCTTTGTGCTTTTGGACCCAAACTTAACCTTTCAAGTACGTCATAGTTCCTGCCTTGAGGAGAATTCCATTGTGCAAAAAAAAAAAAGGATCATTTAAGATTGATTGAAATAAATCTAAGGTGAGCAGATAGTAGCATGGGAGTCCATCAGAAGGGGACAGTACTTCTGGCTTTTATGGGGAGAGTTGAGGCCAAATTCATTGATGTCTTCATTTGTTCATTCCACAAATATTTTTGAGTGCCAGGGACTAGAAGGAAGGGGGAAGGGGAAGTTATTGTTATAAAGGTATAAAATTTCAGTTTTGCAGATGAAAGGAATTCTGGAGATGAATGGTGATGGTTGTACAACAGTATGGATGTACTTAATAACACTGAGCTGTACACTTAAAAATGGCTAAGCCTGTTAATTCTGTTATATGTACTTTATCACAGTAAAAAAAAAAAAATCAGAGAGAAAAAAACCTTATCTCCACGCAACCCCTTTCCCCATCCCATGACTTGGTGATTGGGAATATGATGTGTGAAATGGATGGCATTTCCGTAGGAAGAAATTACGTGGAGAGAAGCAGAGGAAGACCTCCAGCCAGAGGGAAAGGACTAGCTATGAGTCCTTTTTGCCTGGTTCGTAGGGCTCATGGGGGGAGACCATACAAGCTGAGCTTGCAGAATCAGGCCGGGCTAGTTGGTGCAGGCCTGGCAGCCTGGCTCTAGAATTGGGCTTGCCTTCTTAGATTCTGGGAGCCTCTGGAGGTTTCTGCCCAAGGGAGTGTCATTCCAAAGGTGTGCATTTAGAAGGTTAATCTCATTAATTCTTCCCGTTAAACCATTGCCTATTAAAAGCAGTGGGATTGAGGCATGCATCTGTATGGTAAAAATTGCAGGCTAGCAGAATGTTAGATACTCAGGCGTGTGTTAATGAATTGAGTAGGTTATTTTTCCACCCATTTTACAAATATTTATTGAGGACTGTCTAAATGCCTGTAGTGTGCTAGGCAGTGGGGGAAAGGGAAGGAATGAATTTACTAAATCTCTTTTCTTGATAAGTCTACAGTGTAAGAAATCCCTTTCCTAAATAAGAAATTATGCTACATTGTGCCAGAGTGTTGCCATAAACATCTCACCAGAGCTCCATGGGAGCTGGGAGGAGGGTGTGCCTGGCCTGCCTAGGACCCTGGGGAGGCTTCCAGGGAAGGACTGTTCAGTGGATTTGAAGGATAAGTAGCTTTTTCTAGGCAGAGAAGCAGAGATGGGCATCCTGGGAGGAAGGTAAATCAAACTTATTGGGAGTTGTCAATTTAAAGAAAATGTATAAATATTCTATTTTAAAGCTAAACTTTTATTTCATTGGCTTATTTTGTAGGTGGTACTGGCTAGAGTGCATACTTTTGGACCCAAGCTTAACTTTTCAAATGTGGAATCCCAGGCCTTCATTGGTAAGTTTGTTTGATGCCTTCTTACAAAATTATGCTATCAAGGATCAGTAGTTGTCATTGGTGCTCTGTGGAAGTTACCAAGCCTGAACCCTAAAGAAGCTTGTAGTCAAGGAGGAACAGATCCACAGAAATGGAGTGTCAGTGTAGGCGTCTGTGGGAGCTGCAGAGAGGGGGCCAGAGAAGGCCATCCAGGGAGGCAGGGGATGGATGCAGATGGCCTCATGGAGAGGTAGAACTTTGGCTTTGTTTGAAGGAAGAAGTCCAGGGAGGAGAGAAATAAGCTTTTTGGGCTTGAAACGGTGGGCATAAGACACAGTGAAAGTGGTCTCAGCTGTAGAGAACTTCATCCAAAGGAGTCATGGGCAAGAACTTTGACAGGATCTGCTGGTGTTTGATTATTCTAGACTAGGGTCATCAAACTTTCCTGTAAAGGATGAAATGGTAAATATTTTTGGCTTCATAGGCCATGTGGTCTCTGTCATAGCTACTCAACTCTGCCATTGTAGCATGAAAGCAGCCATAGATAATACATAAATGGTGGGTGTGGCTGTGTTCCAATAAAGCAGGGGCGGGGAACTTTTTTTCTTCCAATAGCCATTTGGATATTTATAATATCATTCTGGGCCATTTGAAATTGTTAACTTAAAAATTAGTCTGCTAGCCCTGGCCAGTTTGGCTTAGTGGATAGAGCGTTGGCCCTTAGACTGAAGAGTCCCAGGTTCCATTCCGGTCAAGGGCACAATCCCCGGGCATGGTCAGGGAGCGTGTGGGAAGCAACCAGTCAATGTGTCTCTCTCACATTGATGTTTCTCTCTTTCTGCCTCTCCCCCTCCCTTCCAGTCTCTCTCAAAATCATTCAAAAAATAGCTTTGGGTGAGGATTAACAACAAAAAAATTAACCTGCTATATTTGGTCAAACAATTAACTCACCCCAGTGCTTTGGTAGGGCCAGACCAAATGGTTTTGCAGGTCTTATATGGCCCGCAGGCTAAATGTTCCCCACCCTGCAATAAAAGTTTATTTACAGACTAGGTAGTGGGTTAGATTTGGTCTGTGGGCTGTAGTTTGCCCACTCCTTTTCTAATCCCTAAATGCCAGTCTAACGCATTTGGTCTTTTTCCTGTAGGCAGTGGGGAACTATTGACATTATTTTGGGCAAAGAAGTGAAATGGCAGAGTGACATGTTAGGAACATTCATGTGATACCTGGACAAGAGGCATGAGCCCTATTCAAAGGCAGCCAAAGTGATCCAGGCATGAGGTCATGTGAGTAAGAGTGGTTAGAATGAGAGCACAGGACCAATCGAAGAGAGATTGCAAAGGAAGAACCATAGGATTTTCAGGCTTCTTAACGACAGGAGCCAAAGATAAAAATTTAAACTTGGGAGACATCAGGTGTGAAGAAGCGTGGTTGATGTGTCTGGTTTTAGACACATTGAATTCAAGATGACAGTGGTTCATAGACAACTGGAAAAGCAGGGCTGTAGCCTGGACTTAGAGGGTAGGCCTGGAGATGTAGAACAGGAGCCATCGGTTTAAATAAGTTCTCCCATGATGAACAGAGGCCTGAGCCTTGGGGAATGCACCCAACTCTGGGATGGAAAGAAGAAGGTAGAAAAGAACCAGAGCCAGGAAGGTGGGAGTCCCAGGAAGGGAAAAGGACCGGGGAGAAAGGACCTGAAAGAAGGGCACCAAATCTGTGACAAGGTGGTTACAGATGGCCTTGAGATATGTGATGCCGTGAGTGGGGCCGAGGACAGGAAGAAGTGGAAGGAAGCCAAGTTGCACAGTGTTGCACAGAAATAAGGAATAAAGAATCAGAGACATTAGTAAAGTGGACCACTCATAGAGTTTGGGTGGTAAAAAAAAGGCGACACATAAGATTTCAGTATTGGCATGTCTAAGTAACCTGTTCTTTAGCTTTGAGGCAGGTAAAGCATGCTGGGACCAGTTCTCACTTCCTTCTCTGGAGCCAAGCTGTGTTTGGGAGTTTGTGTGTACATTGGGCTTGCATTGTGTTCTTAGGCTCCCTTTGAGGCGTGGTGTGCATAGCTCTGCCACAACTTGCACTGCAGAATCCAGTCCTGTTTGGACTCTTGCCACGAGACAAGATATGATCTGTTGGGGAAATACTTAGATTTGCCTAAGTTTGGAGGACCAATAAATTGGAATAAAACTTCTTACTGCAGAGTCTGCTCAAATATGGTAATTTGAAGTAATTCTTCAAGTCATTCAACTAGATATCAATTTACGCTCTGATTACTTTGAGTGCACCTTCTTTGGTTTGAATTCTAAGTCATTTGTGGTTTGGTTTATGTGAATATAGCAATTAAAAGAGTAATAAAAGCAACAGGCGTAACTGGGTTAGAGTCACCATTTATGGAACACTCACTGTGTACCAGGTACAGTGCTGAGTACTCTCTAGCTGTCACTTTATTTTATCTTTGCAACAGCCTGTGACGTGGGAAGTACTATTTTCATTTCAGCAATAAGGAAATCCAGTCATAGGTTGAATAACCTGCCCAAGGTTATAAGGGATTTGAACCCAGTTCTATCTGACCCCTGGTTTATGCTGCTCCCTGTTTTCTCCCATCTCAGTCAGAATTTCTCCTCCTACTTACATAGAATTACTAGAGACAGATTGAGCTCTTCCGGTTAAATATTCAGAGACTCTAGTGGGTGTTTCCACTTCCTAGGCACCTACTAAAAGGGTGGAAGGAGTGTGGGATCTCTGGAAGAGACGAAGCCCAAACTTCACACTTAACTTTAACTGTTTCATCAGATACTGTTTTCCTTTAGCTGGAGAAGGCGGCAGCCCTGGGCTTGGAAAGGAAGCATGTCAGTAGGATTTCGGTCCTAGCTCTGTGGCAATTATAATCTACTTTCTGTTTCGATACTTGGTATTTCTCTCTGCTCACCTCCAATTTCAAGCTCCAAGGGCAGGGCCCTATTTTGTCTTGTTTGCATCTGTGCCCCCAGCATCTACATGGTATCAGACATGTAGTATGTGCTCACTGAATATTTGTTGCTTCTAATGAGCCAGACAACTTGGGACAAGGTGCTCTTGGTGCTGTGGTTATAGAAATGACACCAGACAAGTGCTCTGTCCTCGTTAGGCAGATGTCCTAGTGGGGCAGTCAGACAGTCTAGAGGTCTGAGATACACAGTAGTGCAAGGGCAGGCAGCATGGTAATGCTCTGAAGTGAAATAAAGTGAGAGAGGCGGGTGGAGGGTAATGGGCTAACAGTTTAGTTAGGGTCATCAGGAAGTCCTCACCAAGACATGAAGTGAGATAATGAGACTGTTGGGGGAAAATGTCATAATAATGCTACTGAGGTTTAATTCTTTTGCTTGGCTGTGGTGGTTAGCACCCAGCTAACTGTTCCCTCAGCAGGGCTCCCTCCAAACCTCATGTCTCTGGCCGTGCTGAGCGCTCCCTTCCCGTCCTGGGTCTGCTCACTCCTTATCTGGCCTGCCCTCTCCTTGTCCTCCAGACCTCAGCCTCTGCAGTCTGCTTTGCCAGTTTTCTTTGTCCTTAGCTTAATAAAGTTTTGCTTGGTCCCTTTCATGCCACCCTAAGTGTTCTCCCCAGGTGAGCTCATCTACTGCTTCCTCTATCTGGGAGTCACCCACATCTACATATTCAGCCCCAAACCCCCTCCCAGCCATCACTCCTAGCTGTGGCCCTGCAGGTATCTCAAACTCATCCCTCCCCTGGTACCAAATGTGTCTCTCTCTGTGTGTCTGTTGCCTGCCTTGGGTGGGACTACACTCCCTCAGTTCTGTCTACTGTAGGAGTCATTCTTGGCTTTGTCCTTTCCCTCAACTGTCATCACCCACCAGTTGCCACATCCTGTGGAGACCATCTTTCTAATTTGTCACCTCACACCTTCTCCCTCTTCACTCCTTCATTTTGGGACTCATTGTAGGGAATTTTTTTAAACAGGCTTTTCATTTGTCTTCCTGTGTCCATCTTTGTCCTCCCTCATGCCACTCTCACACTCCTATCAGCAAGATATTTCTAATTCACAAATCTGACCATGGCTTTCTTCTGCTTATAACTCTCCAAGGGCTTCTCATTGCTTCTAGAAGAAAACCCAAGTCCCGTCAGCGGGCCTACAGTTCTTTCATAATCTGGCCCTGGGCCACCTTCCTCATTTCACTTTTTCTCTAACCCATATTTCTAACCTCAGTCCAACCTTCCAACAGCCTATGCCTCCTGGTGCCTTTGCCATTGCTGAGCCCTCTCCTAGGAGTGACCCACCCCTGCTCCCCATTTTGGTAACTCAGTCAAGTTTCCATTCTCCGGACACCGTCCTTCCCCACCCTGCACTTCTCGGTGACCTGGAGATGACCTTCCTCCTGGTTCCAAAACACCCTGCATTTTTCTCTCCCTGAGCATCTATCAGCATAACTGTTGATTTACTTACTATCTGTTATGTTCAGTAAACTGAGCTCCTTCAGGGTGGGGACCACACACACACACACACACACACAATCTCTGGTTCTCAGTGCCAGCACAGTTCACCTGGCTCAGGAAATGTTTGTAAAGGAGTGAAATGTCTGTTTGTGCAGCCAAACAGCAGATTTATACATGAACAGATGTGTATGAAATTGGAGGCTCATTGGCCCTTGGGTTTGGTGGGGTCCCTTCTTCTCAGTTTTGAGTGCAGCATAGGTTGTTCTGGGCTGGGTTTATCTCTGGTTCTCGGTGCCAGCACAGTTCACCTGGCTCAGGAAATGTTTGTAAAGGAGTGAAATGTCTGTTTGTGCAGCCAAACAGCAGATTTATACATGAACAGATGTGTATGAAATTGGAGGCTCATTGGCCCTTGGGTTTGGTGGGGTCCCTTCTTCTCAGTTTTGAGTGCAGCATAGGTTGTTCTGGGCTGGGTTTGTGGCTGTTTGTTGTGTCTCCCAGCATCCCGAGGCCTAGGGAATTGAACCTCTCTGTATTCTTTATGCTGACAAAAACAAAAACAAAGCAACCACAACTCCTGC